CTTTCGGGCTTGAACTGATGGTAAAACTAACACATTGTTAACTGTCTTGATATTTACTTTGAAAGCTGAAGCTCGCGATTATGGTAAGAGGCGTTACATTTCTGACGCGTGCTTGTGGTGTTCGACCAATCACAATGCACTGGGTCAGCTGGCCAATCAGAGCAGACTGCGCTTGTCAAAGGAGGGGGCTTTTGTTTGAGAGAGGCGGGGCATAGAGGACCTACAATAATGTACAGTATTTGAAAAATAATGTGTTTTTTGAACATTAAAGCATGTCAACATATTCTGTTACACCAAATACACCAAATAATTATCTTTAAAATAGCATCATTTGACTCCTTTAAGTCACTTTGTTAAAAAAAAATAAAAATTTGAAATTATGAAATTTTGCTAAATTCAAGCAACTTTTGGGAGCACGATGAATGATATTCAACATATGGCTTTTAAAAGTCAATTATTAATACTCAGTAATATTGTCAGTTTAACTGCACTGACAGTATGGGGTGAGAACAAAATTTGAACTAAATTGAGTTGACAGTATCATCTTCTGTGGAGCTGCTTTACAGCTCAAATTGAATTTGCTTCAGATTTGATGAACTTCACAAAATGAACATTGAATATATTTTTATGTTTATTACAGTAAAACCTCTTTGAAACAATCTGCACGGTATAAAGTGCTATATAATAAATACTTGTGAAATGTCTTTTTTTATGGAATATTTTATTTTTGGAACATTTTAGTTGGATGTTCATCTAACGTTTTTAAATAATTCTCAAAACTAACATTCCCATAATGTTTGCAAAATTATAAAATGGACTGTTCCCTTAACATTCAAAAAAAATTTCCCTTATCAAAAAAAAAAAAAAGTTTTAGAACCTTGGCTAACGTTCTGCAAGATTCTCTCAAAGTTATCAACAAACATTCTTAGCATTAATAGAACATTCATTTGTGATTATAATGTTATTTAAAGCTTACAAAAACATTTCTTATAAAAAGTTCTACTAACTTTATTTTCACCCAAAATATAATGTTACTGGAACATTTATTTTTAATATTCTAAGAACATTAAAAAGTCCAGCTTTCTGGTTGTGATTAGAATGTTATTGAAATGTTACCAAAAAAAAACGTTCATCTAGTACAAATAACATCATGAGGACGTTCAGAGAATGTTGTTCTAAGAACAAGAGTACGTATATCAAATAATCATAAAGTTATAAGAACATTCCATAAACATTACTTTAAGAAAGTTTTGTCCTAACATTTTTTAAAAACTCTGTTAGCTGGATACTTGTTTCAGAAAGTTCAGATAACATTCAAAAGTAACTTTTCCATAATGTTTGCAAAATGATCAACTGGAATGTTCCTCTAATTTTCACATAAGCAAGAAAAAATGTTTCAGAGAACATTCAGAAATAACGTTTTCATAACTTAAAGGGAACGTTAGCTAAATGTTCTCAGAACATTCTTTTGTTTGTCAGCTGGGAGAATCTTTTATCATATACTATGATTAGGGATGCACTATATTCTATCTTGAATAATATTTCAGACAGAAGTATGTGAATTTGGACAGCAATACTATACATACAGCTTTCTCTCAAAAATACTAGCAGTGTGCCATTCTGTTTTTATTTAAGCTGATGGCACCCTCTGGTGGAACTCTGAGTGTTAAAGACACTAATGAAACATAAACCAAGAGCTGGTTTGACAGACAATGAGAGAGAGAGAGAGAGAGAGAGAGAGAGAGAGAAACACCCAAGGTAACATTTCCCCCTCACCGTCTCCAAACCTGTCACAGAATAGGCATGTCTGAACATAATCCCAAACTCATTGCTCTTCTCAACGGAACCCTGCAGAAAGACAAAGAGACAAGACAAGGCAATAGATTACCTTCACAAAACAACATCTGTCAAAAGAAAATACTTTCCTGGAACTCAAGAAAGATCCTTTTACGTAGAAGAACACAAACAAAGAGGGAAGAACACACGTACACATGCAAGACCCTCACATCAATAATGCTCACAACATTCGAATTTATAACATTATGGAACGTCACATTCTGGTGGTTAAAGATCTGGGCTGCTAAATAAAAGGTTGCAGATTCGAACCTGCAAGTTTTGATCAGTGAGCTGTAACTAATGTGCTCTCGAGCAGGAAGCTGAACTTACTAAACCTGCCATTGAATATGGTGACGTCACAGACACAAATTCCAGCAGAGAGGATAGATAAAGGATCTATTCTCTTCTTTTATTGTTCACTCATATTTTTGTGCACTACTTTTCAAATGTTTGGGGTCATTACGTTTTTTTTTTTTTAAGAAATTAATACTTTTATCCAGCAAGGGTGCATTAAATGTATCAAAAGTGACAGTGAAGACATTTATAATGTTACAAAAGATTTCTATTTCAAATAAATGCTGTTCTTTTGAACTTTCTATTCATCAAAGAATCCAGAAAAAAATAGATATCAGTTTCCAGAAAAAATGCATTGATAATAATCATAAATGTTTCTCGAGCAGCAAAGCAGCATATTAGAATGATTTCTGAAGGTCATGTGACACTGAAGACTGGAGTAATGATGCTGAAAATTCAGCTTTGCGTCACAGGAATAAACTACAATTGAAAATATTTTCAAATAGAAAAGTCCTTTTAAATTGTAAAAATATTTCACAATATTACTGTTTTTACTGTATTTTTGATCGAATAAATGCAGCCTTGATGAGCAGGAGAGACTTTTTTCAGAAACATTCAAAAATCTTACCGACCCCAAACTTCTGAATGAACTGACAAACAGCGTGGAGGGGATTTCACATGATTTAAAAAAACTGCAATTTCAGTCTGTTTCACATACAAAGCACTGCTTCAGAAGACTTCAAATACTACATGTATAATAATTTATTGGAGCATACACTTCTACCGAATTTAGAGCTTAACAGCCCCATTCCCCATTCACTTTCATTATATGAAAAAGAGCAGCATGAACACTCTACTAAGCATCTGCTTTTGTGTTCCACGGAAGTCCATGAGGGTGAATAAATGATGAGAGAATTGTAATTTTTGGGTAAACTATCCCTTTAAATAAGCCATGTAAAGAGAGTGTACCCTTGAGTTAGCACAGTTGATCAGAGCTCCTTTCTGCAGCAGCGGGCGGAGGAAAGAGCCCAGTGTTCGATGGTCAGACGGCATCATGAATTCTTCTGTAACCCCACCTGTCATGTCTGCCATCGCCTCATGAGGGAAACCCATGTTCAGAGCGTTATAACCACCCTTCAGCCTGAGAAAGAGATGGAAAAGACAATCTGAACAACAGAAAATAAGTAAAAGCACTTTATGTGCATGCAGACCCTCAGGTCATCCAAGATGTAGATGAGTTTGTTTCTTCATCAGATTTGGAGAAATGTAGCATCGCATCACTTGCTCAGCAATGGATGCTCTGCAGTGAATGGGTGCCGTCAGAATGAGAGTCCAAACAGCTGATACAAACATCACAATAATCCACAAGTAATCCACACCACCCCAGTCCATCAGTTCACATCTGGAGAAGCTAAAAGCTGCGTGCTTGTAAGAAACTTTAAACCTTTAAACCATTGCTTCTGGCCAAAAATAATCCATAATAACACTTCCTCCAGTGAAAAAGTCCATCCCTTGTTGTTGTCTCTCACATCAAAAGCCACTGATTCACTGTTTTGGCTTGTAAACGGTGCTTGATCTGTGCAGATTTCTCTCCTGATTCAGACAAGACGACTTTTTCACTGGAGGAAGTCTTATGGAGGATTATGGACTAGCTGGAAGAGACGTTTAAAGTTAAAATGTCTTAATGATGTATTTGTTTCTTACAAACACGCATCGTTTGTCTTCTCCAGATGTGAACTGATGGACTGGAGTGGTGTGGATTACTTGTGGATTATTGTGATGTTTTTATCATCTGTTTGGACTCTCATTCTGACGGCACCCATTCACTGCAGAGGATCCATTGCTGAGACACTGAGGCAATGCTACATTTCTCCAAATCTGATGAAGAAACAAACTCATCTACATCTTGGATGGTGTGAATTTTCATTTTTGGGTGAACCATTCCTTTAAAATGTTTCTAATGTAATAATACTGAGACATTTTTAAGCATTCAAATATTCCACTAACTTGGCATAAGCTTTCTCCATTAGAGCGCTCCAGAATTCGTCTTTGTTTGAGGAGCGCAGATAGATCAGCTGACCGTTACGCGTCGGCAAGCGGTCATCGACTCGCACCTCAATCCACTCACCATACTGCCAAAACTACAGACAGAGAGACACCATTAAAACCATCACAACCGCTTCATTCTGTACGGTAACACACGGTATTAACCCGAAAATTGAAGCAGCCGTTGTAGCCCTGCTGAAACCCCTGGCCTGAGGGAACGACATGATGCAGAAGACAAGGGTTGAGAGAGAGAGACGCCACCGCAGACAAGAACCAGCAGTCACCTGAGTGAGAGAGAGAGCGAGAGAGAGAGAGAGAGAGAGAGAATTAAAGCATGTTAAACCTGTTAAAACACGTTTTAGGTCTAATTTGGTTATAAGAGATTATTCTAATGGTATGTGGTGAAATAAGTGTACTCTGCTACACTGGCTCTTATTTGGTTTTACTTCAGGGCTTTAAACATTTAATATTAAACGGAGACCCAACACAAAAGAAAAGTAAACACCAGGACATCATGCAACCTGCCCAATTGTGCATTTGTCTAATTTGATGAGCTTTTACCAGATCAATTTGCACCAAAATACTAGAGTTTGATTGGATGCATGACCTTTGACCTTAAAAACAAAAGAGATACGGGAAGTGTCGCACTGTATTATTTGCATTTAGCTTTGAGAGATCCTCAGAACAGACCTGTGATGCACCAGATGAGAACCACTGCTTTGCACCAAACACCAAAGCTATTAGATGCCAGTACATACTGCTTTATGAAGCGCAAACAGTGTGTTATATGAGAACCTGCAAAAACCTGCAGCTGTATTATTCTCAGTGTGAACGTTATTGTTTAAATGGTTCAGCATTAAATTCTCACTCAGTTCTCCCTGGCAGATGTCCATACGTGTGGCTCCATCCGCAATAAACTGAGGAAACGGACAGATCTCCTAGAAAAGAGTGGAGAAATCACAAAAGGTCATTTTAGCATAAAAGACTACTTTCTAAAAATATGAAAGAACTGAATTATTCCAAACTATTGTATATGCACTAGTGTAAAGACATTAAATATTTGAAACCCATGCAATTATTTAAGGACCTATTATGTATTATTTACCCTAAAGTAACTATTACCACTGTTCCTTTGATCAAGAGACTTAGCTCCAGGGCGAGTGATTGTAAAGTGTCTGCTAAATGACTCAATCCTATATAAATCTTACAACAATAAGAGACTCAACAAAACAAATGCTGACGAAGATTGCATTATAAAGTATTTGGACACTTAAGTCACAGTTAAACTGACTAAATGTCGTTGCATTAGACCTGTATTTAACCATTATAAGCTATCAGTAGATTTTCTTACTTTTTGACCACAATAATATCAGCATCTGCACCAAATTGCATATTTTGCTCGGTTTAGGCCTCTGCATAAAATACAGGTGTTTTCCCTCCATATTCTCACTACTGTATATAAGCCATCTCTCAAATATGACAGTCAACAACAAAAAAACACTTAAAAACGTCTAAAGGTTCCATAAATTGTTCCATTTAAAAAAAAAAAAAATTATTTTCGGACTATCGCATATATCAGTTGTTAAAATAAATGACACTATTTAACAGTTTAACTATGACTTACGTGCCCAAATATTATTTTATTTCTTAGTGCATAACTTTATAATCAGTGCTGGGTATATCACTTACAAATTTGAGTCCGTTACTGATTCCAAACTGCATGACAAATATTGTAGTAGTTAGTTATGTAATCCATTACATTACACATTTCAGGTACAATAATCAGACTACTTTTTGATTACTTTCGCCATAACTTATTTATCACATTGATTTAAATAGGATAGTCATATACGATATTGATATACAAAGAGAAAGAAAATATATTCCATTAATTGTTATTAACAACATGAGGTGCATTAAACATTGCATTACCTCAAAGTTTCCCAAGCTGGGGTTCGTGAAGGGGGGGGGGGTTGTGAGTTTATTGAAAAGCTAATAATTAATTGTGTACATATGTAATCATCACTAAAAAAAAGTAACTGTAGTCTGATTAGGAGTTGGCAATATAGTCTAATTACAAGTACTTCATTTTTGGAATCTGATTAGTAATCCAGATTTCATGTCGCCTAATAAATTACTCCCCAGCACTGTTTATAATACAAAGCATTGTATGCAAATACAGTAGATACAACACTGGTCACAGCTGGTATCAAAGAAAAGTTCAGGGTGTTTTTTAACATACACCAGTATCGTGTTTGTAGATTGTATGGAATCATGTGGCTCTCTGGAGATGCGTGTTGTTGTCACTTTGGCTCACCTTTGGTCGTTTCCAAACCACGTCGGTCTGAATCGGCAAGTTCTGCACCGGGAACCTCGCATCCGTGTAAAGCCCGTCCTGCAGAGGAAGCCCGGAGGTGGGAGACCACAGGAGCGTCGGGCTGCCCAGACTATCCCAGGGGTTCGAACCGGACGCGTCTGTGCGCGACTGTTTCTTCGTTTCGGACATACTGGAGCGCGTCAAAAACTCAGCCTCGGGGCTCGACTTTTATGCGTCTGAATCTGTCTATGTGTTTAAGAACGAGTGTTTTTGAATGCACAAATACACCATTCAAGTGATCCCTGATGCCAAAAATGTCAACTACTCGTCGGTCTGTGGTAAAGTGGGCGTAAAGGAAAGCAGGTCTTCCTCAACGTACCTTTAACCAGTTCCGCCCTCCTCCTCCACCTCCTCCACCTAAATCAATAAATTGGAAAAAAAAGTAACTTGCGTTACTAATTTGAAAAAGTAACTCAGATATTCTCTTGTAAATTAAAAAGTAATGCGTTACTTTACTAGTTACTTGAAAAAAGTAATCTGATTACGTAACTCACGTTACTTGTAATGCGTTACTCCCAACATTAATTATTAACCCCTTGGCATTCCTGTAAAATTGCCTAAATGCCTAAAAAAGTAATACCCAAAGTAAACTGCATGCTGTTTTTGAACCTTTTGGATTATATGCATGGTTTTGGTCTCTTTTGAAAGGTGACACTCTGAGGATTCTTCTGTTTAATCACTGTAAGTCTCACTGGTATTGAGTAATATAACTTTGAACACACTGAAACAGGAAAAAACATTCAGCCTATTTAAAAAAAAAAAAATTTTTTAAGCAGATGCCTGCAGATGACTATAGCTGGGAGCTATTAGCTGGAAAACACACGTTTAGCTTTTTTTCTTTTTGAGTTGTTTTTTGTCACAAAATTAACCCTCAAAAACACGCAGTGCAACACTAACAGGTCAAAGACTGCATATCTTTGAATGAACGTTCTATTAATGTTACTGGAAGAATGTTTGTTTATAACTTTAAGGAACCTTGCCAGAACGTTAGCCAAAGTTCTGAGAATGTTCTCTGTCATTTACAGTCATTAAAGTTTCTCATTTCAGCCACCATTAATGCAGGTGTGGCAAAAAGTTCACTTTGACCCCACATACAGCCCATCCTTCAGCAAACACACTGCTCTGCATAAGGACTGATATTCAAAAGGTCAGCTCTGTATTGTAGTCTATTGTGACTGATGCAAAGAACTTGATCTGCCAGTAGACCAGAGAATAGAGCTGAAGGATGAATCCCACAAAGCCTGCTTCGGGGCTTGACTTATCGCGCATGACTTTTATCCTTCTCAGTCTATGCACAAATGCACAAATACACCATTCCAGTGATCCCTGATGTCAAAAACATCAATTATTCGTCGGTCCGTGGTAAAGTAGGTGTAAAGTAAAGCAGGTCTTCCATACCTTTAAACGGCTCCTGTTTTTGAAAGAAGTCTCTTCTGCTCACCAAGACAGCATTTCTATTTTTAAAAATACAGAAAAGTTTTGGAATATTGTGAAATATTTTTACGATTTAGAATGAGTGTTTTTATGTGAATGTTTTGTAAAATGTAATTTATTCCTGTGATCAAAGCTGAATTTTCAGCATCATTACTCCAGTCTTCAGTGTCACATGATCTTCAGAAATCATTCTAATATGCTGATTTGCTGCTCAAGAAACATTTATGATTATTATCAATGTTGAAAACCTTTTAAAGTTTAGCCTTTTAAAGGGGTCATATCCATGTGGTTGCCGCAAGCCCGCCTGCCGCTCCTTCGTCAAATCCGCCGGCTGCGCCGTTCTCAAGCCCACCGGCTGTCACTCATTCATCCTATTTTTTGACTATTTTAGGCATGCTTATGAGGGAACCCATTACTGTCATCCTTTCACTATATGCTATCCTACCTTGTTTAGTATCTATGAATTCGCCTTCTTATGATCGAAACAAGCGTGTATATTATATATTGGTACATAGGCAATGTATATTAGGGTCCTGAGAATCTTTAGTAATTTCGATTCAAGTCCATTTGCAAATTACCATGCTTAGAGACAAAGGGTCGTAAAACCCTCCAGCAATTGCCACCTCCCGCTTGGAATTTCCATCTTTCTCATTGGACAAGCCCATCTTGAGAGGCGTGACTCTTCTCCGACCTTAAAGGCCCACACCAGGGACCCTCCTACAGTCGGTGGTTCTGCTAGGTTTCGATAAGATGTGAGTTCCAATGCTCCAGATCTTCCTAAGTTACGTGCCAGGCTTCGGCCTCGACCTTTCCATTCATCAAGATCCTCTGACTCAAAACTGGTTCTTTTCATCGACCCAAATTCAGCAAAGATCAACTGGAAACTTCAGATTACATCAAACCTCTCTTTCAGACAGATGAGACATGCAAGTATCAAA